GCATTTGGGGGACTTTATGTGATGGATAAGCAACATTGCAATCTCAGTGTAGTTGAAAAAAGAGCAACAGCCAGACAAGAACTTCAACAATGGCACAAAAGACTAGGCCATAGCTCTTTATCTTGTTTGAAATATATTAATTTCTTGAAGAAAAGTTGTGATGAACAAAAGTTGGGTGTATGTGATACTTGTCATAGAGCAAAGCAATGCAAACTATCTTTTCCTTCTAGTTGCATTGATAAATTTGATTTGATTCATGTGGATGTTTGGGGCCCTTACAGTGAACCATCCATTACCAACACTTGCTACATGCTTACTATAGTAGATGGTTTCACATAGACTACTAGGATTTTTTTGATGAAAAGCAAAGAAGAAGCATTCAGCCACATCAAATTTTTCCTAAAAATGACTCAAGTGAAATTTGGAAAGGCAGTCAAACAAATGAGAACAGATAATGGCTCAGAATTTGTGAACAAAGATATGCACAGCTTACTGCAGGAAAATGGTATTCTATACCAAAAATCTTGCTCTTAATCACCCCAATAGAATGGGGTGGTAGAAAGAAGGCATATGAGTATACTTGAAGTTTTTAGGTCACTCTATTTTCAAGCAAAGCTGAGAAGAGATCTGTGGCCCTACACACTATTGGCAGCAGTGCACATCATCAATTCTTTGCCCACTGAAGTTTTAAATTGGAAGACTCCCTATGAGTTGTTGCATGAAGAATGTACTAGTTATGACAGGTTCAAAGTGTTTGGGAGCTTATGCTATGCAAAGAGAAACATACCTCACAGGAAGAAATTTGACTCCAAGGCTTCACCTTGTGTTTTCTTGGGATATGTCAATGGTGTTAAAGGTTTTAGAGTGCTGGATCTTGATAACTATGAGGTTTTCATCTCAAGAGATGTTATATTTCATGAAATAGAATTTCCTTTTCATAATCAAGTGGCCACTGATCAAACTGTTCCCTTACCAGTTGCACATGATTTTTGGTCTGAAATTGAGGACAGTGACCTTGTTGATCCAGTTGAATCACCTCAGTCAGAACCTGCTCCGCAATTAAGCAGGATTACAAGGAAGAGACAACCACCAGCTTGGCTCTCTAATTATGTGACAGACTTGGTAATTGTTGATGACACATCTATTAAGGAGAGTCACTCCTTTATGACTTAGGTGAAAAGGACAGAAAGTGAAACCCCTCTTCTATGAGCAAGCTGTTAAGAAGAAAAAATGGGTTACAACCATGACAAAAGAACTTGAAGCTTTGGAACTGAATAATACCTGGATTCTAACATCTCTCCCACCAGGAAAGAAAGCTATAAGATCCAAATGGGTCTACAAAATCAAGAGGAACTCAGATGGGACCATAGATAAATATAAGGCAAGATTGGTTGCAAAGGGGTACTTGCAAAAGGAAGGGATATATTTTTTTGAGAGTTTCTCCCCAGTGGCTAAACTGGTTTCAGTAAGGTTCTTACTTGCTTTAGCAACTCAGAAGCAATGGAAAGTTCATCATATAGACATTAACGCCTTTCTCCATATCTTTTTGGAAGATGTGGTGTACATGCTGCCTCCTAAAGGATACACCAAAGCCAAGCCTAATCAGGTTTGTTTATTACAAAGGAGCTTGTATGGACTTAAACAAGCACCAAGGCAATGGAACATTGAATTCTCAGATAAACTCATTGCTTATGGTTTTGTTCAATCAGTGCATGATCATTGTTTATTCCTTAAGCACGGTTCTGAAAAGTTTCTAGCTCTGTTGATCTATGTTGATGATGTTATGATCACTGAAACTCATATTGAAGATGTTGCTGATTTGAAATCCTATTTGGACAAGTTGTTTACTGTTTGTCCCATTTTTGTGTCTTTATTTTGGGCTTATTTTCTCTTTATTTTTCCCCACGTATAGGATTTTCGTAGTTTATTTGGTCCAATTCGGTGATTTTTCCATTTTTCTCTTTAGTTCGTTTTGTGCGTCTTTTTGCTGTGTTTTGCTTCGTGTTTTCTTCGTGTTTGTGTTTTCAGGAGGTAGGTTGTCTTGATCGAGGACGGGACTACTTGAGCTGAGACCGGGATATCAAAAAGTCCAATTGACGTGCTCAGAATACTGAAGGAAGGACCGAAAAAGACGGACCGAAAAGCTGCCCAGCATTTCTCGCGACTCGCGAGTCAGTGTCGCGACTCGCGAGATGGTCGCGACTCGCGAGATGGTCGCGACTCGTGAGAAGGTCACGACTCGCGAGTCCAACAGAGCCGAAAAGACGAGTTCCGCGAGACGAGTCGCGACTCGCGAGACTAGTCGCGACTCGCGAGTCAGGTCGCGAGTTTCCCCAAAATTTAAAAACTTTTCGAAGATGCGCGAGTCGAGAGATGTCGCGACTCGCGACTCGGCAAAAATGTACGTCGCGACTCGCGACTTAAGTCGCGACTCGCGAGTTGGCCGGCGCGATTTTCGAGGTCGGGATTTTAACATCAGAATTTCGACCTAGACATCATTATTCACGTTCCAGACT